ATCATATTACTAATCCTGTGATTATGTGTATCTTCTCTGGCAATCATCATAAGACATTAAAAAAATGAATAATTTTGCTTTAAAATTAGTGCTTATAATTAATAGCATTCAACATACTAAGTAACATTTATTAAATAAACCTGATCAGTGGAGGGCAACTAGATTAGAGTTGAAGGCTTATATATGGGTTGTTAAAAGGACATGTTTTTGGTTTGTTTCTTTTGGAAACGTCTGCATAAATATTCATTGTTCCTTTCCTCCTTTATGCTCAGACACTGATCTTTCCAGTTGTTACATACCTGTTTGGATTGAGGGGGCCTGGTCGTGTAATATTAATTTAAATTCAGAATCTCTTTAGAATGGTTGATCCACATCGTGACTGAGGGAATCCTGGGCCACTTGGATATTTTACACCTGATCTCTGCCCCATCAGATCATCATGGTACCCCTAAGAACCTATCAGAGTGAATTAAATCAGTTCTCCAGAGTGACCGTGAAATGTATGAAGACATTCATACATTTAGACATTCGTACATTTCAGAAGATAGCAGTAAAATGGTTTTTAGGTCACTGTTCTGGAATCCAGTGACTACCATTTGATTTGTGAGAGTCTGGAAAGTCGTTTAACATCTTCACACCTATTCCGTCTTCTGTGAAATTGGAGGTAGTAATATTCATCTCATAAAAGAAGTGACAAGTAGGATATATATGAATATGCTTTCTAAGTGTGAAGAGTTACACAGATCTAGGACTTTGTAACTATAAATTTTGGACTTGGGGTGCCCCAGGTAAAGTAGTTTGCATATAGCCAATGGCTTGGCTTACAGTTTTTTTTTGTTTGTTTAAGATTTTATTTATTTATTTGAGAGAGACAGAGATCACAACTAGGCAGAGAAGCAGGCAGAGAGAGAGAGGAGGTAGCAGGCTCCCTGCTGAGCAGAGAGCCCGATGGGGGGCTTGATCCCAGGACCATGGGACCAAGACCTGAACCGAAGGCAGAGGCTTTAACCCACTGAGCCACCTAGGCGCCCACTGTTTGTTTGTTTGTTTGTTTTAATGTGAATCTACTTTCTTTTATTGTTTATTATTTATTTTTATTTATTATTTTATTTATCTTTAATTTATGATTATTTATTTTATTATCTAGCCTAAACCCCAAGAGTGCCTTCGTGGCTGCTACTTCTTTTGTATTGAAAGTTCCTCTCAAAAGGAACAGTCTTTTGAAATGAAGTATTTTTAACCTATCCTGAAACAAATGTTCATACTGGTAACAATGCTAACTATGACAACCAAAAGTGTACTTTGTGCATATATATGATATTTTACATTTTTCCTAATGCATTTTTATAAGCACATTAACCTTGTGAAGGGATAAAGTAACTGGTTTAAAGGAATAAAATAACTGGTTCCCATGTTATATAAGTGAAAATTCAAATTCCAAGAGATTTCACTGAGAATAGTGTTTGGTATTTGTGAGTGCCACCTGTCTACATACATTACTGTCTACCCTTAGCAACTTTCAAATGTGCAATATAGTATTATTGACCATAATCACCAAGCTGTACATTGCATCCCATGACTTTATTATTTTATAACTGGAAGTGGTAACTTTTGACCCCCATCAGCCATTTCTCCTCAAAACTGTCTGTTGTTGGAGTGGATTTCTTTTTTATTGCATCAACTTTCTGTTGAAAAAATATTGCAACTTCTATCACTGTAAATAAGCCTTAATACTTTCATAAGATTATGAGGTTTTCTCTGTGAATATTAGCGGATTAGGATGCATTTGACCATATTATTGTGGTCTTTTCTCATCCTTTATTATGTGTTCTAAAAGTATCTTTAATATCAAAGATACTGAAAATCATTTTCAAGTTTATATTTATATTAAAAGTAAACAATGAAAAATTCTGAGTTTAAGGCACCTGAAAACATTTGATTATTTTATTTCACATTTATCATCTATAGTATTTTAGAATAAATTTACTTTAACGATTTTGACATCACTATAAAAGTATATAAAAGTACTCTTACTTGTGTATATTATTTATTGTTCAGTAAGCTTTCATCAGAAGTATAGTTCATTTTATTTTTATTTACAGTGATTGAAATTAAAAAAAGAAGACAGAACCATTAAACTTCTGTTTTTGGAATGTAGTCTGTAAACAATATTAGAATGTATCGTATACAAGAATAATATTCTAGAGATTATCTACCTTTCTCCCTGATTTTTAAGAATCTTAACTTATAAAGAACATTTAATATAATCATTTGTAAAATATAAAATTACTTTGAAAAGTTAAAGTTTTAAAGTCTTGCTGTTCACTGCAGAACAATGGTGATAATGACTGCAAATATATTATTGGTATAGCATGTTTTGGTTTATATACTTTCTCACATATATTATCCCACTAAGTGAAAGGTTTTTTTGAGTTATTTTTGGTTAACATTGAGTAAGATATTTGGGACTCACAAAGGTGTATAATGTTTACAGCAAATGATCAGCTAATTTTCTTATATATGCAAAAATAATTAATATTTTTGTAAAAAATAATATGTAATATGTAAACTGGTTGGTGCACATATCTAGGTAGATAAGCAAATAGGTGAATTAGTATAGTGTTCATATATTTTTTAATCTAGTCTATATGGACATAACCATTTGAAATCTCTGATTCAAGACTACTTTCTGTGTACTTTGATAACTGTAAATTTTTTTTTAAAGATTTTATTTATTTATTTGACAGACAGAGATCACAAGTAGGCAGAGAGGCAGGCAGAGAGAGAGGGGAAGGGAAGCAGGCTCCCCGATGATCAAAGAGTCCAATGCGGGGCTCAATCCCAGGACCCTGGGATCATGACCTGAGCCAAAGGCAGAGGCTGAGCCACCCAGGTGCCCCAATAAATTGTAAATTTTAACCTTTACACTCAACTCATTAATTGCTAGTGATCTGTCTGTTGATACAAAACATTGATTGTTTAAATAATAAAAGATGTGTTAGTTGCTTTTCCATATCAGAATATTATAAGAATTCACAAAGCTTCTAAATGAATTTTATTATCTGAGCTGTAGCGATTAGAATAAAGTGTTGATAATAGGGTATAAAACAAGTTGACGAAGAAAGAAAGCAACACACACACATATATATAATATATATGTTTCAAATTTGCCCTGACTTAATGACTGCAGATCAGAAATACTACTTTTACAAAATATGTACATTTTACTAAATTTCATGATGTATACTTCTTTTATTGTTAATTATTTCTACTTCAAAAGTATTCCTGATATTTTTCTTTGATGAAGAAAAGATGAGGAAGAAATAACTCTAGGTTTTTATATCTTCTCATTTTATAAATACCTGAGATTGATTTATGAGTTTTTTTTTTTTTTCAAGGCATGATGTGAAAATCGTATGCCTTAACTGCAAAGAAACATGTATCTTATCTTGAGACATCACCTTCAAAAAGTTTTCTTTGTAAAAGGGAAGTGCTGCTATTTTTTGAAAGTCTGAATATACTAACATGCAAGGCCTCCTTGCAGCATATGCGTGAGAACAGCCACATAGACGCTGATGTTATTACACGGCTGTCTGATAATCACCCTCAGACATTAAATCCACACAAAAGAACTTTGGGGACATGTTGATCCTCAACATTAACTGTTATGCTAAATTGCCTAATAAGTATGGAATATTGACTTTTCTTAATCTTCCACTGATTGCACAGAATATATTTTTCAGCTTACAACATTCACTAATGAATCAATTTTAATTTAGGGACTAAATAAAATCTCCATTAAGGCCAACAAATGGTAGCCTCCAGTAAATACAAAGCATTTTCACAGTAAATCAAGCTAAAGTCTGCCCTCAATGCTCCTTATCCTGCCAGTATCAAAGAAGGATGCAGAAGTATATGGTCATATCAGAGAGTGAAGCATTTCTTCAAGAAGGTATAATGGCAAATACTAGCCATGAGGGACTGTATTTCTGAGATGAATAAACAAGCACATTAAACAGGATAACTACAATGTCTCATCCTATACAATTAGTGGCAATATTATAGTTGGAAAAAACCATTATTTTGTCTATAGAAATATCTACCTATCAATAAATTATCAAATCTAGACAATCTCTGAGTAAATTGACCTTAGCAAACCCATTCTGAACTTGGGTGTCTTTTTCAAAATAAGAATCAGTTTCATTATATGTATATTTACCCATGATTAAGTCTGCACAGCCCAGATTTATTTAACCCAATTTCCACAAAAAATGCGTAGTTTATATTTCTACTTCAGCAGTGGTTTTTGATTATTCTCTTTGGAGATTTAAAATTATTTTAAATTATAGGAGATTGGCATTGGTGAACAGCAATCTGTGAGGTTAGTGTAATTATTTATCTGAACAAAGGAACATGAGCATCAATTCTTAAAAAATAGTTTTACTTACAGTGTTAGTAATATATTCATATATATTAAAATTTACATATATTTTAATATTCAAATATTAAATTTTTATTGATTTTTTTAAAAGTTTGGCTAAAAGCTTTTCCACATCATATTTTCACTGCCTTTAAAATGGATATCATGATAATTGGTGAATTTATTTTACAATTTCTAATAAAATTCTGTAGTCATATTTTCTCAATTTTTAAAAAATAACAGCAGTTTGTGATTCCTACCAAAGAGTCCTTCCCTGTGTTCACATTGGCAGTATTCTACAGACCAGTTAGTGTTGTTTAAGCAGGATTTAACTTCTAACTCAAAATCATACCATTTTCCCTGAAATACTAAATTTGTTAGTAGGAGTAAACTGGATGAACTGATTTTTATTTCTAGTTTTTTAAGTGTACCACAGATATTTCCTTCAAAGGTCTAAAATTCTAAATTGACCAAAACCTTATGTAAAATCTTTGTAATAAGAACCAAAATAAAATTAGTACTGGTGTTAGTAATGAGTTAACTTCCCATAAATTTATTATTTCTTTTCTCTTGACTTCAGGTGCAATAACAGAACGCAGTGTGCAGTGGTGGCAGGTCCTGATGTTTTTCCAGACCCGTGTCCAGGAACCTATAAATACCTGGAAGTGCAGTACGAATGTGTCCCTTACAGTATGTATATTCCTGTTCTGCTCTTGTGAAAAGATTCTAAGCTTTGTTTTGCATGCATTGACAAAGTATTCTCTATGAAAGCATAAGAATTATCATATTTTTTACGTGTTTTTTTAAAGACTGGCTAATTTGAATTTTTCAGGATCATATATCCGCCCACCATTGGAATAATTAGATGTTGCCTGCAGGGTTCTCTAGCATCCATTTTGACTATACATTTCTGTATATCGATACTCATTCTAAAAGTTTTCTTAATGCAAGAATATAAAATTTTTAGAAGAAAGTTGAAATGAATGACATGACAATACTGCATCCTTCTAGGTCCAAGCAAACAGAAAGTGAAAATGAATAATATACTTACATATTATTATATTATGTAAATATTATATATTGCTGTATATAACATTATATAATGTTAATGTTATATAATGATAGTGGCATAGAAATTGATAAACTTTAAGTTTAATAGAAGCAGTTATGTCTAATCTATAAGTGCTGTCAACATTTTGAGGATGAGAAATATATTCACCCAGAAGGAACAAACTGAAAAGAAAACACAAAAATTACATGAACTAAAGCGTTCTTCAGAATTTACCTCTTACAACCTCAAGAAGTTTTCTTTGCAACTTTTCAGTCAGATATGGCATATGCCAACCACATATTTTTTCTTCAGGAATAATGAAGAATCAAACCATCAAAACTGGAGCATTTTTCTGACTTTTCTACCCAAAGGAAGAATCACCATTTCATAGAAATATTTTTGATCTGACTATTTATTATTCATGGGATTACTTAGTGAAGATCACTCAGGAAATCCTGCATTCTCACATTATATATTCAGTTCATCCCAAGAGTAGAAGACACTGGGGATCACCCATAAATCTCAGGTTCCAACTTCCTTTGACATCTCTGAAGAGAAGTATCTGGGGGTCAGCCAGTGTAGCTGTGCCAAGAGATAGTTCGAAGCTCGCCTCATTTCTGCTTATTTAAGAAGCAGCACATTACTCATAAACTGTAAGTGTGCATAATCTAATAATAGAGAGCAATTTGGCCAGCAAGAAATGAATTGAAATTTTAAATTAATAATGAAAGCAGTCGAGAGAAAATTTCATTTTTGTTTTATTTATTGTGTGATTCATTAGAGAAAGTTTATCTGGTGCAGTCTTAGAAGCTAATTTTCCTTGTTATAACAGAAATCGTAAGCATATGGGTTCTATTGAAATCTCCACTGAAGTTATGCTTCTTGTACACTGTTACCTCTAGGGATCCTTCTCTGGAAAGATAAAGCTCTTACTGGCCAGTTATTGTTCATTAGTGATATTTTAAGGTAATAATATTTGCCTTTTGGAACTTTGTCAATTTTATTTAGATTATATAATAAGATCTTTGTGAATTATGTAGAATAGCTGTTTCCAAAGGCATTTTATAAAAATCCACCATAAGGAATACCTCATTTTTAAAGACAGTTTGAGGAAGCTTTCAGTCATATTTTTGAAACACGAAGGCCGAAGTAGAAAATGTCAAGCTAGATTTTTTCACAGTTTTTAAATATTAAAGAATTTCACAGCTGTCTCTTCAATTTTCTGTATTTCTTCAGAATTTCTTTGAGCACAGCTACTCCAAAATCCTTGGGCCAACTTATTTTGAAAAATCGTCTACTTAAATCATTTCAATATAAATAAGAATTTGTGCATACCCTTTGGCATAAAAGGAGTATGGTTTACCACATTATTTCCTTTCTCTTTTACAAATTTTCAGAGATGAATTATTTTTTTTTTTTTAGAGATGAATTATTTTATTTCTGCGTATACTATATATACAGATTTCTGGTAATCCTTAAAATCTATGGATCACCTTAGATATATATCCATTATGTTAAAATATTCATCTGATTATTTTATTAAATATTAAATTAAAGTGCAGCCACTTGCCTGTTAACATACTGGTTTAAGTTACATGGGTTAGTATGATTGCCCTTGTTTGAATATCTTCAGTATGTTTCAGTTGAAAGTGTAATGTGTAATTGGGAATTCATTTAGTAAATTTAACATGATTTTAAAAGAAAAAAAATACACAAGGAAGTATAAACCATGAAGTAAAGTATAGTGACTTATTTGAAAGGTAGACTTGTTTAGTGGGAAAAAACCGCCAGAGATCAGGAAGCCTGGGTTCAGAATATGGTCTGGTTACTTAACAGAAAAGCATAGGTCCTTAAACAAAGGTAAACTATTAAATTTTTCTTGATCTCACTTTATAGACATTCCCTGATCTGTAGTAAGTTGATTTAGATCAACACTAAGTTCTTTTTCTTATCCCTAGCATAAAATACAGACTTTTCCAATGCTGTTTAAAAAAAAAAAAAAAAAAAATCAATTACTTAAAATTGGCCACCATTTATTGGCACTTTCTACATCTTATTTACCACATATTTGCATATATTATTTTATTTAATTTTCATTAAATCCTTCCTGTTAGGTATGAGTATCGCTATTCTAACTGAAACTCAGTAGGATAAGTTAAAGTTTCATGTAAAATACAGAGTAGCTGGATAATGACATAGCCAAGATTTGAGCCTGTCTCTAATAACTGTTAAGGACACAGCGATAATTCTCCTCAGAGATTTTCTCCTCTATATTTTCATGAGTTATCCAATCTTGTTTAACTCTTAAAATTTTCATCACTGTAGTTATGGCACATGGTAGAAGCAAATGCTTCAAGGGCCTGAATCTTTTTTTTTTTTTTTTAAGGTTTTATTTATTTATTTGCCAGAAGGAGAGGGAGAGAGAGAGAAACAGGCTCCCTGCTGAGCAAGGAGCCTGATGTAGGACTCAATCCCAGGATCCCGGGATCATAACCTGAGCCTAAGGCAGTCGTGTAACCATCTGAGCCAGCCAGGCGTCCAGCTGGACTCTTTTTGTTAGTTCTTTTGCTACTTAACTTTGAAGAGGTTTTTATGCCTTTCTTAAAACAGCTGGTTCACTGCAAACTTTTATTTTCCCAGTCACCTAAGAAAGCATAATGACAAAAAGGAGTTCAGCTATAAAACTTGTGCCCACAGTTTGGAATGAGACTCTTAGCTAAGTAGTAACTTAAGAAGTTATTTAAATCACCCATATTATAAGAGAAATCCTTGTATGTAATATATTTATTGAAATATCCCTAATGTGTTATTAGAAGGTAAACTTCAGACTTAGGATTCATTGTTAGTATTTTAAATTTTTCTAATTGAACACCTCAATAAACAAATTATGTTAGGTTCTATTTGTTATACAGTTCAGTAAGACCCATTTTCATTTTTAATTTAAGACAACAAACTTCATTATATATAAGTGATATATTTGATCTTTATGTTTTCTTAATATTGAGATGTGGGAAAAATACTATTATTAATATTTTCTTTCTTTATATAGACTCTGTGTGTGTGTTCCCTTGGTAATATTTTTAAAGTGATACTTTCCCATGGAAAAATATAGAAAAAATGAGAATATCAAAATATAGATAAAATATGTGGGAAACATATTAATATTAATAATATGTTAGCATAATAAAGGTGATAAACATAAAAATTCAGCAAAATTCTTTGTTTCACATCAGAAATGTGGAGTTAAAATATCTGAGATAAGCTTGCAATATATTTTTTAAGCTTGCAATAATTTTTTGCAGAGGTTTTGGCGTCAGTAAATAGGTACATGGTTAAACAATGACAGTTTTAGAAGAACCTTCACCTGAATCAAATGGTATGACTTTTTTCTTTCTTTCTTTCTTTTTTTTTTTAAGATGTTCATAGGAAAGAAAGTTTAAAAAAATAGTGATTAAAAATAATTTTGTGAGGCCACTTTCTTTGAGTGAATCCTAAGTCTGAAGTTTACCTTCTAATAACACACTTCTCTGAATTGCTAAAGTTATATTTAATTTTTCCTAAATCTCAGCTTCTCCCTCCTGCCTGTATTTTCTTGTTTGGGTTCACAGATATCCTGTTTGTGACCAAATTTGGGACAGATGAATCAATACGTTTGTCTGTTCCTGTCACACCTTAGCTGCAATGTGACTTTTATAGCCTTCGCATTTACTTTTGAGTTTGATTTTCCTCCTGAGTGTTTTGTTGTTGTTGTTTTTTTCCTCCTGGGAGATGACCCAGATATTCAGAGGTTAAACCTCAGCGTTTATCAATGCCACACTTTGGCTCTCTACCTTTCTTCTTCGTGTCCCATTTCCAATTCCTTCTGGTCTGATTGGGGATTGAAATCGTGGCATCTTCAGGTAGAGTTTCCCTCATTTAGCTCGTTTACAGGGAAGATTTGCGTCAGGAGGAAAACAATAAAACAACTAACCACCAAAGTAGAGTATTTCTGAGCAAAGAATCTTTACTTTGTATCCTGCTGACAATTTGTCTTTCTTCCAAGGCATACAATTTCACGCACATTACACTCAGAAAGTGCTTGTCTTTTCTCACAATCCTGCTTTTCTCTTCAGTTCTTTGTTTGTTCCTTTTAGAAATACAAACCACATATTACTTCTTCTAGCAACCTTTTCTTGCGGTGGATTTTCTTAAGAAATGGAGAGAGGGAGCACGCTATTTGGAGAGCTACTAGAAAATGAGTGGTTTAACCCATCTTATGTTACACCACTTACAGATTTTCTCACCGTTCACATCAGCCATCTGAAGTTACATGCGATTGTCTATGGAAAAACATGCAAAATGAGTATTACTGGAAAATTAATATTTATAAACAATTACATAATCTATTAGTTTTTGTCTTTTTTTTTACTCTAAGAATAAGCATTACACTTCAACATTTAAAACAGACAAGTGTTTATTTAGTTATAAATAACTAAATATATTTTTGCTAATAGTATTCAAATGAGTGCATATTTTAATATATGTATTCTTTGGTTCTTATTATGTAAAAAATACTTACATATTTTAAAACGCAAATGCCAAAATTAGACCATAGGTTTAATTTTTGTAAGGTATAGGTTGATTGCTACTGCCTCAGTAC